GTTATGGTTTTCTTTTCTGTTCTTCACACGGATGGATGTTGCAGTTCTTTAGCTAATGTTTTAGTTAATTCACTTATCATGGGCATTGGGGGTTCTATTTTTACTGGATTGGCTTCTTCTTCTGTTGTTTAATATGGTAGAAAGCTGGGATTTTCACTGCTTTTTTCAAATCATGAAAAATGAGATGTGTTGGTCTAGTTACTTACGATCAAGAAGCTTTTGTGATTTATCGTCTGTGTGTGTGTGTGTGTGTTTTTTTTTTTTTTAATATATATTTCTTTTTTTGTCTGCTGCTGATTAAAATGAAATATTTAACTTAGCTTGTGCAATCATAAAGGTTGGTTGCTCCTCTGGGCATTTTAAAAGAGGATTCCTTTTTTTTGGTAGAAAAAGGGGGATTCCTCTAGTTGGCTTGAAGATAACTATGGAGAAAGGCAAGATTTCTGAATACAGAGAGAAGTTGGACAAGACTCTGGCTTCTGCTGAACTGACGAATGAGGAGACTCTTAAAAACCTTATCAAGAATCAAATCCTGAGATCTTCGAAACATGAGAAGGAAGGTTAGTTCCTTTCAATTATCCTGTTGGTTTCTTTAGAAGCTGTGATGTTTCCCCTTTTTTTTTTAAAAAAAAAAAATCCTTGGATCCATATGATTCTAAAGGTGGCGGTACAAAAATATTGATTCTTAAGGTTTAGATCAGTTCCATTTTATTTGACATTTGTTTCTTATTATTATACAGGATATAGTGAGGATGTATTGGAAAAAAGGACTATGGAATTGTCCAATTTTCTGGCCATGTTAAGGAGTGCTTCTGTAAATGATCATGAGTTGTCAAAAACCCATGAGGCATCACATGGTGAATGGAAAGTATGATGTCTCATCCTAATGCTCTTTTTATCTTCTGGTCTCTCTATGAACCCTTTCTCAATACAAAAATTGTTCATGATAACTTTTATTTTTCAAAATTTTGATTTATTTATGTATTGCTTTCTCCCAGAAGATAGAGAAAACCCTGGCTTTTGAGCACCTCTTCATCTGGTTGATTACCATCTAAATCCATTGTTGGGCCTGTAATATTCTTTTTTCAAGGTTTCAAACTTCTTCCTTGAAGCCATTTTTGTTAATTCCCATTTCAAAGTCTGTCAGCCTATGCAGAAATTCTCATATTACGAGTAATTTGATAAACATGCCTATATAGAATATTTGTTGCCTTTTCTTATCATTATTAGCGTACTGAATTTGTAAATAACAATTTAACCATGGGGCTAGAAGACAATGAGATCATTGAGGCAAACATTTTTTTTTTCTTTTGTGGTGTCAGTTAAAGCAGGATAATGAAGAATTCCGTGTCATGTATCGTGAAGGACCTCAAGGCACTCCTTTTCATAGCTTGCTTGTTGAAGGTTATGTGGATGGACCTGTAGATGTTTGTAAGTTTTTCTGGATTACTTGGGCAATTTAGATTTCATCCAACAGTTTCAAGTAAAAGATTATGCAAATAACCTTAGGCTTTTAATACCACGTATCATTGTGTTGGTAATTTTCTAGGTAAGTAACATACTTCTTTGCAGGTTTATGCATCTCTTGGGAGTCACCACTGTACAAGAAATGGTGAGAACTCTCTCCATGATATATATATATATGTGTGTGTGTGTGTGTGTGTGTGTCTGTTGTCCTGTAAAAAATATTAGCAGTACCTATTCTTATTTCTCATTCAGACCAAGAATGTTGACTGAATGGTCTTTGTAATTTTTCTTAATAAGGTATGATGTTGCCTGTATAAATGTTTGTGCTGGTGCATCAGTGCATGTATGCATTCGCCTGTCCCAGTTTCTCCGATGACATATGTCATCAGAACTTTTACTGATCACTTTGCTTCTGATAACAATTTTGTCTTACATTTTTCCCCTAGGTGGCCTCAATCTAGTTTTCCACCTTTCAAAATAACTACTTGCGAGTGTTTGCAAAAGGTCCAAATTGGAGAACAGATATCCTTAGTGAGGTATGTCCTGTAAAAATCTATAGCACTTACTGAAAGTTTGCTTATCTGCTTGTTATGCTTCCTAATGGTTATTTGTCCTATTTTTGGAAGAAAGGGTGAAGGTTGCTTGGCCACTGTCAGCTAGGGAAGCTTTAGTGCACTATTTTCTATTTGAATACTTTGAAGATGATCTGATTGTCATCCTCCTGAACACGGTATTCCCCTGAAATGGTGGAACCCATTTTCATCTGCTTTGCTAGTATGCTTTCTGCCTTTATTGTGTAAAACAAAATTGAATAATGATAGGTCTACATTCTTGCTCTCAGATCTCAGACATAAGGAGTATTGATAGAAGCACTCATGGCTTTACCAAGGATGGGATCCCTGAAGCAAAGGATGTTGTAAGGATTGACTTGGTTGGAGGCTTTGCTTTGCAGAAGGTGACAATGGAAAGGAGTTACTTTCGGTGAGTCATTCTTAATCTGAAAGCTATAAGTCAGTCGTCAGATGCAAGTAAGATCACATATTTTAAGGACAGGGTAAAGCCAACATCAAAAGTTAAGGACTTTTGCTTATGTTTTCTGTTAATTTCCAAGATATTCTCTAGTTGACTAGAAGAAATGAATAACAGAAATGGTATTAGTTGAAGTAGGCAATGCAGACATGATTTTTGACCTTTCACTGTTCTCTATGTTAAGTACTTGAAGGTTGCCAAATTTTGTAGGACAATAACAAACATGGATATGAAGCTGGATTTTGTCCCTCCTGCCCTTATAAACTTTATCTCAAGACAACTCATTGGAAATGGGTTCAGACTCTATCAAAAGGTTTTATGTTTTCCTCTTCAAACTTCTTTTCTTTGATATTCAGCTTAGGATGGTGTAATTTTGTTCATTTTTCAAAGAGCAACCCATTCAGCGACTTGAGCTTCAGAACATTTTACGAAATGGAATGAACAGTACATTGGCCTCTAACTTGACTGTTGAATTCTCATAGCTTCTTCATGAGGAACATTTTTAAGTTCTGGTTCAAATGGTGACAATTCTACCATTTTCTCACATGTTTCAATCTTTGTGTCCTACAGGCAGTGGCTTCTGTGTCTAATTGTGATGAAGATTACTGCAACGCTTTGAATGATCCACTGTATGCTCGGATGCGTGAAGCTCTTTATTCAATTAAAGAATCGCAGGAGGCTCTGGAAGTGAAAGAACTCAAAATTGAAGAATGCATTCAAGATGACAAACATTTAATGAAAGAGACTCTGGATGTCAGATGTGATGTGGAACTGGATGGTCATGCCCATGACCCTATCCATGTACCTTCACTAGATTGTGCCCAAGGCACAAAGAGAAAAACTTTTGGTGAAATTGAGGAGGAAGAGAGTGAAGAAAGCACATTTGTGGAGGGTGAAATTGAGGAGGAAGAGGGTGAAGACAGCACATATGTAGAGGAGGATTGTCAGGCTATAGAGCAATCCTTGGCCAGAATACCTGCTGATAAGAATTGTGTAAATGATAAAAAAAATATCTCTATAAGACCTGAGGTGGAACAAGCTCTAGTAACATTAGATAAGGTCATTTCCATGGTTCGGGAATATGGACTTAATGGCCAAAAGAAGCTCAGTTCTTTTGGCTTCCCCGAAGACTCTCCGGATTCTGAGAAGAGTGTAGTAAACAATTTGATTTCTAAAGCAGATGATGGAGATTGTTCAAGAGGTGAGGTTTGCATTGAGACATCCAAAAAGGAAGTTGAGGAGAGGACTTTGCCCAATTCCAGGAATACCACACCAATCAATGATGTCAGGTACTTACTCTCACATGCTTTAGAAAAATTTAAAACACATTCAAGCATCGAATTCATCTCAATTTCTACTCATTTCTTCCTCCTCATCCTTTAGTAAAATGGCTTTTTCATTTTTGGTTATCAAGCTGAATAGAAAGCAAGAGAAGGCCTAATGAAAGAAGACATTGAGCTCTCCATTATTTATTCTGAGCTCTGTGTCTTCTGCTAAATGATTGCTATCATACTTCATTTGTTGTTCATAGGTACAGGTTGTGTGTTTACTCAGTCAAATCAAAATCTCAGTCATTCTATAACTGGCTTCGACATGGTATTGCAGGTCAAATTCTTTTTCAAGGGAAGCCAACCATAACAGAATAGCACCGGCTTCATCACCTCTGCAAGATATATTAAACCTTGCCAAGACTAACCATAGTGCCCCAAGTTCCCCACGGAACCAGACCACTGACGCAAATGGCATTCACGAAAATGGTGTTAAAAAGCCAACTAACTCCCTTAAAAAATACCGCTTCTGTTGCTTCAGCTTCAAATCAAGCAAGAAGCTTGACTAGTTGATGCCTTGAACAGGAATACACATAGGATGCAAAAGAAGTTCTGATTTTATCAGTAACAAGCTTTCAGTTTTGGAGCATAATAATGACTACTTCTTGAAAGGAACTATTGGTTGCCTTTGGGCAGTTATGTACCAATGAATCTTACACTAGCAAAGATGTACAAGTGCTTACATAACAATTTACAAATGAGTATACTTTGTAATGCAAAATTCTGAATTTTAGACCGGCTGCTTGCTCTGTGTACTTCAACCAACCAGGTTTGGTTGTGAACCTTGATTGAATGACTAGGTTTGACAAATACATTAATAGTGTTCGACTTTTTAACTTTTTAAATATAAATTTTATATGAAAATTTAATAAATTAGACTTTAATTAATAGAGTTGTAGTTTTGAGTTTTGAGTTTTGAGTTTTAATTTTCAAAATTTAAACAATTAAAATTGACAATTAAAAACTAAAATTATGATTATAATTGACAATTTATTGGGTATATAATTTTAAAACAAACACTCTAAACTTTAAACTTAATTAGTTTATAGAATTACTTAATTTTATTTTAAAATTTCTGAATTTTTAAAAATTAAAGCAGAAAACTCAAAACCACAATTATACTAAACATAATTTTAAGCATGTGAACAACAATTAAA